AGGACCGACAAAAAGCCTGGCGGACCGCTCACCAACATAGTGCAACCCAAAATCAGGGACACTTCAACGCCAATCTTTGGGCTTAAGGTTCGCAACAGAGCGACATTCAAGGCAAACTTCTGGGCAAGGAACCAGAATGTCAAGAAGCCGCTGGTTTGCCAACTATCTTCTGTGCTGGGCTTTACTGGCATACTTAAAATTGCTACTAGCGCAAAGGCAATGATCCTAGACACAGCCTTTGGAAGCTGGTCCAAGATGGCAACCTTCGCAAATTTGGCCATGCTTGGTGACTCCCCATAGAAGTACAGTTTGGTGCTGCAGCGAGTGATGCTGAAAATCCCACTCACAACATTTGCCTTGAAAAGTAGAGAGGGGCCACAGTCTTCCAATGTGCTTGTCTGCATGGCCAAGTAGAGAGTCATAGTAGAACTGGCTGGTGCCTCCATCAGGCCCTCTGCAATGCTGAACCACAAGCCTTCGGTGCATTCTTGGCCACCCTTCCAGGACTCAGAAAGCTGGCAAATTGGCTCCATCGTGACAACGAAAAGAAACACTGCAAAGTCTTGGACTGCAAAAGGCCAGTTCCAGCCAATAGGGGCAAGCCAACCACACAACAGTAGTATTGCACCCAAACAAGGACAAAATAAAATACCCTCTGGACCTCAGAAAGAACCAGGTTCCCACCTGCGGTGCGATGATGCTGAGCCACATCAATGTTGCCAGGTGAAAATTCCGCTTGTGCGTCAAATCAATCAGCACACCTCCATCCAAATACATATCTGAGTTCAACAAAAAACAGCTGAAAAGGAGACCAGCTCTTTTCACATACACATCGGGAATGCCGGTGTCCCACTCGACCCATGGCAACAGAAAGGAACCTGGCTCATCATCACTCGTCGCATTGGGCTGCTCTACATGCTTGACTCGAACATATGCATAGTCTTCTGTGCTCACAGCTCGTGAGTTGTTGCGATTTGCAATTTGGCTGCTCCATCGTCGGGAGACTCGCCAAGTCTGGACAGCAACACATGCGCGCCGAATCTGCCCAGCTATCCACATCACATGGAATGGAACTTGTGACGGTCAATCTAGTCAATCTATATATAGACATTTAAAAAAAAAAAAAAAAACATGCAGAAAATCGAGATTGTGAACGGTTTCTCACAGCTGAGCACAGTGCGCAGAATACGGCATACACCTGCCAATGTTCTAGCCGCTTCAAGCTAACTTATCAATGTTTATCATCTCCTAGTGTTTGTGCTGGGCGTACTGGGTCATTGAAGGTCTCCACCACAGTGTGTGTCTTTGGTCCTTGACTTTCCTGAGCAAAAAGCGGCTCTAGCCTGAATAGGCGTTGTGTAGGCTGCAGTTTCTAGCATCTGGCTGCACAAACACGAGGTCCAGAATTAATTCGGGATAGTGAGGAGAAAAGTCCCGAGTTGAAACAAGCATAATGCACATGCACAAGCCGCTGCTGCACTTTTTGCTGCCTTCAACTCCATCCATGGTCTATGAAAGAAAATCGTGCGAGTTCCGAAGAAAGGATGTTCAAGGCTTCCACAGTTGTGGCCCAAAGCTTTGCTTTAACGTGCCAACTGCCTCAAGAGGGGTTACGCATGGCACTACACATCACTACGGTTGGCCGTGAAGCAGCGTGTGATGCATCCACAGTCCCGGGCTCTCTTGCACCCCAACAAGCCCAAATCACACACACCGGCTTCATGAGGACGCCACGCAAAGTTTATCTTCCGAACCTTTAAAAAGCAAGTACCCAATATGACCTTCCTGAGCTTTTGACCGCCCAGGAGTCTGCAAGTTCAGCCCAACAGGGGGGACAAGCTCCTGCTGATGATGCAGCTCCTTCATGCAGATCCAGCCGCACAACAGTCAGCATCTAATACATCATGCACCAACATCGTGCTTTGTGCCAGCGCACGATGCAGGGAAATGCAGGGAACGAATAATTTGAACAATTGAAAGCAATGTTGCTAAGCTTGAGTCGCACGAAGCGCCTTCTTCCAAGGGCATCTAAGTGCCACTTCCAAAGGGAAAAAAACGCACAAAGCTTTCCATCCATGTCTCACTTAGTTTGATTCGTTGGGTTGCAGTAGGCTTCGTGGCTGGCCCCAAAGACCAAGAGTCTTGCTGGGATCCCCAGATCTCGCAAAAAATTAGGCCTTTCAAATTTGTTCAGTTTCAATACACTCCTGAGTCACTACTGTGCCTTTGATCGCTTGATGGGCCCCCCCAACATCCCCAACACATGTTATGACAATTGGGAATCTTCAGCTGCCAGCGGTCACGGCAGCTTAGGGGCCTTTCATCCACTCAGACCCGGACAGTCCTTAGATGCCAAGCCACTCGGACCACTCAGCTTCTTGCAGCTAACCTAATAGCCATGGCCTCCAACCGACAAAGTCACTACTAAGTTTGAAGCATGAGGACGAAGCACCGGCCCTAAAGTGTGGCCTTGCACGAGGGCAGGGGCCGGTCCGGCGGGGGAAATTGAGAGCACCATGGAGATCAACATTGCATCTGTGCATGGGTGTTTGATGTTGATACCGTCTGTTCATGGCTTTTCTTCATTTGTCTTTACCACACCCAGAAAGGACCAGAATCATTCTGTGGGCGTCCGGGGGGCAAGGAGTTATCAGGCCAAAAGCCACAAAAATGACATGTACTGAGAAGCTGATGCCTAAGCTCCACTAAGCTCCACGCCCCTTCCAGTTGACAGCATCTCTTTAAGAGACTTTAGAGCTTCTGATTGAGAGCCGCCAAGGGCCCGCACCAATTCCTCAGCCACGCACGCCGTCACACCAGGCGCTCGGTCATACAATAGGTGTGGAACAACTGGAGTTGAACAACAAGTGCAAGAAAAGATCGATTTCATAACGTTTGTCAAACATGTCGCCTTTCCTTTCGGACTTTCGCCTGCAGCCAAGCTCCTCTGGTATGTCTTTGGAAACGCTAATCTTTGATGCAGTTCGTGGAGGGATAAACTGACGAACGACCTCCAGAAGCACACGAGGAATGTAGATAACTGGTTCCACTCAGTGTCACGACCACTAAACTGTTTCTAACGTATTGTTGTTCCTGTGGTGTTGGCTTGCCACACAACCTTGAACCCTGCCTTCCAAGCCATGGAAAAAAGCGTGGATGCGTTGATCACATACATGTGAGAGACAGCTTCCATGTAGTAGCTGCCCGCGTCCAATGCACGCTTCATCTTCTCCATAACATCCTTAGAAAATGCCTGAGACAGCAGTCGTAGGCTCACGCCTTGCATATCATAGACCTGAATATATCCCATCAAAGTCTTCTTCCCTTCACTCTGCTGCGATATCCACAAATCCTTGTACTCGAACACTGCGTGGCTCCAAGCGGTGATCTGAGCTAAAGTGAGGTTGGTTGCCTCCGTTTCTAGGCTGCCACCGTACCAAATCGAAACGGGGGAGCCATCGGCCGCTCGAAGGACACATGGTTCGACTCTGATGAGCTTGTTGCAAACATCCAAGGAGTTGGGGAAATGATTGTCTGTACTACCTCTTTCGAGATGATCTGACTGCTCTCTCCTCACATCCTCAATACGGTTGGCAACTCGCCAAGCGACAATCTCCTTCCACTTCTCTACAGCTCCCTTTCGATCGCCCATCCCCAACAGTAGTCTCAATGCCTGTTGCGTGGTGCAGGGCGACAGCTGAGAACAAAGCTCCTTGACCTCGGCGACTGACGAGTCCCAATCCCTGGAGAGCTGCTCCTTGGGGAGCTGCTCCTCTGCAAGGAGAAAGCCAGCGATCCGTCTCATGCCCTGCGGTGTCTCGCGACTACCACATGGGCTGAACCTTGCGAAAAGCCAGAAGAAACAGAAAACTTACCACTAGCCACAGGTGGAATTGAAACTAAGCACAGCCATTTCGGTGTACATGAGGCAGCTGAAGCGGAAAGTTTGTCCTTGAAATTAGTATTATTGGGGCATAGGGGCATTGGGGGTGCTCTATTTATGTACTCTGAAAGTAGTCTAAAGCTTTCCAAGCACAGCGTTTTGCCACACCGACTCTTGCGAGAATTCGCTCACAATCGAACTCCGTCCCTGAGGGGATGAGGATGGCGCTGCCTGCTTCCATGGGCAGGCATCGTTGCATCACGACAAACACCAAGACTAGGACCCGGTCCGCATACACACTCTGAATTCTTACAGGTAGAAACAGTGAGCCCTGGTCGCCGAGTTGTTTCACCAAAATTATGCAAGCACCTGGTGCCTCCATGATCGATCGAGCTGCTGTTCCTTTTCTTTCTATGCTCTAGTCCGCTTATGCTAAATCCTCAAGTGGACAGGTGTTACCCTAGCAGCAAAACATCCAGCCATGCCAGTTGCCAAAAAACTCTCGCCTGCCAGGTCGGCCGCAGCACAGAAGTGCACTGGGCAGCTTCCAGAGGAGTCCTTTTCAGGATCAGCCACTACTCACTACTCCAATGCACTCAACGCTACATATATAAAGCTAGACTACACAGGTACAATGAGGCCATGTCTATCACGAAGCATGCCTTCTGCAAACTACACCTTAAGCTGTCCTCCTTTGGAGGTCCTGGAACTTCAATGCTGCATCGGAGGTTGGCCCACCTGTCGGCAAACGAGCTTGCTGTGATTACTGTGCCAACTCCGGGTCCGTCAACAACGAAAAGTATGTTGTTTTGGCTAAGCATTAGCAGATTAGGGGTCCTAACTATTTGTGCATCAATATCGACCAATGCCAATCATGGGAAGTATCCATGTTGGCGGCCTTTCGACTTGTGAAAGTCACATCACCACTTTGCGTTGTCTCGATGCATCACTTCACTGCATCCAAGCCCCACTCCCCAGTGCCTAGTAAGTGGATCAGTTCATCCGGAACACCACTGGACACAGAGATCTTCGAGGCTGTCCATGGCGAGATCAAGTTCCGGACGACCTGCTTCATTTCCAGAACGGATTGGAACAATATCAAAGAGCAGGATCATCTGTGCCCCCCCCTCCACTAATTGCTCTCAAACAAAGTACTTCTGAGTCGATTAAATGGGTGCCAGTGGCCAGTTGTTATGGTATGCTATGGTTTGGGAGCCCATTTGTGGTGAGGATGCCTAAAAGCTCGCTACTGCCGAGAAACCTTCCATGTTGCGGAGAAAAGGGTCGAGGCGTTGATGACGAACATATGACTCACTGCCTCAACATAAAAGCCGCCAGTTTGCAAGGCCGCCTTGAGCTTGTCAACCAGTTCTCGCGAAGAGTAGTGCCGCCAATTCATCCCTCTCATGTCATATACTTGCACGTAACCGACCAGTCTTTTGGTCTTTTCACTCTGTTGACAAATCCATGCATCTTTATACTCAAAAACGGCCCTGCTCCATTGGGAAATCTGCTCAATGGACAATGCCCCCGCGTCCCTCGTGTTCATTGTGCCAGCATGCCAAATGGAAATTGGGGAACCATCGATGGACAAAAAAGCACAAGGGCTGGTGCAAATGAGCTTGTCATGAACCTCTGCTGTGCCTGGGAAGCGCACGGGACCGTCAGCAAGAACTGCATCTGCCTGCTCTTGGCGAATCAAGTCCATGCCAACAAATGCTCTCCATTCAACGATCTCTTGCCATTTGGCAACCGCCGCTTCAGAGCTATAGCCCATGCCAAGGACTAACCTCAAAGCTTGTTGCTTCGAAGTGGGCAAAATTGCACCGCATTTGGCATGGACCTCATCAACCAAAGCATCAAGGTCTCGGTCCTCGATGCCTGGTGGAAGTTGTTCGGGCCTTAGGAGAAATCCGGCCACCCATCTGGAACCCTCTGGCATCTCTGGCATTTCCTCATAGAGCATCTCTTCAGCTGTGGGTTCACAGGATCCAACGCCATGAGCTCGAGTGGACGCTCGGGTGGAGCAAGTGGCCGTGGATGCTCCTGTGTAAACACTCTCTTCGGAGCTCCGACGAGGAGACAAGGAGCGCGTAGGTCGCAGCACCGGAGCCAAGATTGAGGGACCATTCACATCTGCAGCTGCGACCAGCAGCCTTTCCAGGTGCAATGCAGATGGGGACCCAGATCCACCAAGCTCTGCCTTAGCATTCATGGTCCAGTGGATGGATAGAGTCAGCAAAGATATTTCCCACATGGAGCGAAGCTGCTTGAACTTTACCAGTGAGAAGGATTATGTTTAATTAAAGTTGTTCTTGAAGTCACACCGGAGAAAATATCCAACCATCAGAAATGAATGAATCAAAGAACAAGAAGGACTTGTGTAACTTGTGCGTGTGCTTTCGTTTTCCATCCAGAGATGTAAATAGTGATGTGATGTGGCATGCATTTCCGAACACTCTCTCGGCCACTCATCGTCAGCAGCATCGAGCCTCTGACTCTAGACCTGTGTAGCTTCTTGCTCAGGCCAGGAGCCCCTGGTAGCGATGCCCTTTGTTCCTAGTAGCGTCCTTGCTATATGTATACAGTATAATCAAGAAAGAATTGGTTCAACCAGCCTTTGCCCGCGGCTCACTAAAATGTATGACTGAGCGCAACCATGCTGCTAAGAGTTCATCAGGCACTTCACTTGAGACAGTGATTTTGGACGCAGTCCAAGGAGAGAGAAAGCCACGAACAAGTTTCCATGCCATCGAGAACAAGCGAGATGCATTGATGACATAAATGTGAGCAACGGCTTCAACGTAAAAGCCCCCCAGCAGACAATGCTCCTTTCAGTCTCTCCGTCACTTCCTTTGAGGAGACTTGTCTCAAGCTAAGACCTTGCATATTGTAGACTTGGATGTAGCCTGTCAGCCTCCCTGTTCTTTCCGTGTCTTTTGTGACCCACAGGTCGGCATACTCAAAGACCTCGCGGCTCCAGGCGTTCAAGTCCTCGAGGTCCAAAGATGTCACCTGCCCGGATCCTTTCGGAGCTTGAGCGTGCCACACAGACACAGGACGGTCATCAGCTGTCAGAAGGGCGCAAGGACAGCCCCTGAAGAGCTTGTTGTACACCTCCCTGTCATTTGCGAAGGACACCGTAGCATCACTGCACATCAAATCATCCAGCCGAGAACGAAGGAGATTTAACTCTCCAGCATTTCGCCATGCCACTACCTCTCGCCATTTGGCAACTGCAGATTCTTTGCTGTAGCCCATGCCCAAGGTTAAACGCAACGCTTGCTGGTGAGAGATGAGGCCGATGGCTGAGCACTCTTCATGAACCTCTGAGACAAGAGCATCGAGGTCTCTGTCACCCAACCCAGGTGGCAGTTGCCAGTCGTTCCTCACAGCTTTGAACGTTCACCAAGAACTGTTTAACATCTGTTATGTTTAGGATCTGGCTCAACAACGGAAACTGTGCACATCTATCCCACTGCTACAGTACCATTCATATCAATTAATTTTTGCATGAAATATCAGCAATAGGAGCACTTACAAGATAACTTCCAAGATCTTCCAAGCATGGGCACTTTGGCACAGCTGCAACGAAACAACACCGATGTAAGCTGTGCACCAGTGTCGCGGAGACGGATGTGATTCAGTGATGTCAGTCCCACCTCGTCCTCTCACCTAATCAGTGCAGGAATGAAAGGCTCCAGTACTTCTCAACCAAGTCTCAAATAGAATCCAGCGACTTTGATGCCAGCTTGTACCTCTGCATCGTGAGGCTCACTGTGCGGGATCTTCTCCAGGTCCACTTGAACCTGAATCTGAGAGGCTTTTGGGCGATCCTCAAGTGCATCCCCGGCTTCGCCTGCCGACCAGAAGCACATGTAACAAAGACAGTAGACATATTCTATTTATTTCTATTTCCTCTACGTAAGTTTGGTTTACTCATAACATCTGGAATTACCACATCTAGCTTTGCCATCAAGCCCAAGAGCCAAACCCCCAACCAAGCCTGGGTGATGGCTGATTTGCGGTGGTAAAACCAGCGGCAGCGGTGGTGATGCCTGAGGCCTTGTAAGGGTCACACAGTCAAATGCCAAATTCTGCCAAATGTCACTCTACAAGTATCACCAAAGCTGGAAGCGCTCTTCGCCTCTGCGAAGACTTTCGAAAAAGCATGACGCACCACTTTCCAACCTCGTTCACAGTGGGTGGCTCAGCCAGTGCGCTCACCCAATTCTTCAAGGCTTGACAAGCACAACAGCGCATGCTCAGGGCGACACACAACCGCAGACCGCCTGCATGACATCGAGAAATCGAGAATCGGTAGAATGTCGAACCCGAGAGTCGGGCCTTCACAGTCCCGATCATGATAAGGCAAATGGTGCTAGGAAGGCTCCGCTTCAAAGACCATGGCCTGGAAATCCTCAGGACAAAAGACTGGAGCATTGGAGCAAAAACATGCCAAAACAAAGCAAACGAAGTCAAAGGTTGGACTGTCATCGATTCGGAGCAAGGAAGGGAGCGAGGGGAGGTTGTAGGGATATAAGCGGTGCCTACATCAGCATGTGCAACAAAAGCCAGCAAAGCCACTGCCCCACCCATTTTGACGGCCAAAAGGGTGGAAAGACAGGCAAGTCAGGTAGCAAGCAAAGGATTAGGCCCAAAGTTGACCATTTTTTTGTTAAGAAGCGCTGGGCTAACTTGCCTTGTTCGAACTAAGTGCCGAGTCACACTGACAGTTTGCTGGCACACCCATGTGCACAGCCACAGTCGAAACAAAATTGCCAGATCTCAAATCTTATCACTAACTCCAGCTTGATGAAGCACTGCAACCTCCCCCAACTATAATATAAACCTGATTGATTCCAACATATTCCGAGCCTCCCATTGGAAACATAGAAGAAAGCATTTGGTCAATTTGGTCACCTTGAACCTTGTACGATAACCCTCCAGCTCTGACTCTGAAATGCAACCCATCCAAGAAGCTCAGCTGGTTGGCAGGTCGACTCTAGCTCTAGGCCTGCTCAAAACCCTTCAGACACTTCATCACACAATCAAGCGTGGAGCGTTCAAAAGTCGCACCTTGATTCGAGGCTTCCACCTCCCGAGCCGCATGCACCTCATGCTCTACCTCGAGCAGGTTTGACCTGCACAAGGCATGCAAAGGAGAACAAAACCAACAAGCAAGGGCATCGAAAGGGCTCAGAAGCGTATCAGCCAAACCTGAGAGGAAGCGCATCCTCCATTCACCTCGAACAGCCACGGCATCCCGCAAACTCTATGTTCCCGCCTTGCATCGAAATGGATATTTTATCCGCTGAGGCTTGGGCAAAGCAGCACCAAGCAAATGAGCGCCGCGTGAATATGGAAGGTGGGTTGCTTGGGTGTAAACAACTGTAACTTTTGCACCCATGCCGAATGCAAAAGGAAGCTTGAACGAGCAACGAGCAACACCTTGCATCTCCAGTTTGTATCCCAACAGCTGTTCCAAAAAGTTGTGACCAAGAACACTACTGAAAATGTGTCCCGGTCGAGCAGGAAACGAGAGCAAGAAAGGTCGAGTTTCCAGCGAGGGTCAGGCACAACGCTCGCCTACATTTCGCATATCGGTCCTTCTGATAACTTCTGATCATATATTATGTGTTTTCTTAGTTAGGTATATATCTACCATATTATACTATATTACTTCTAAGTGAAGCCGACAGTGAGCACATCGTTTGTTTTGCTATACCATCCAGGTTTGTGCCCTACTCCAAGTCCAGAAATCGGTCTTTGGACTTCGGACACCCGACGGTGATTCCTCTCACCAATCTCACTGGAAGTCACGGCCAATGGTGGCAGACCTCAGTCTTTCTTGGCTTCTTTCTGTGATTCCTAGGTCCTAGGTGATAGAAGCTGTGCGTTTGCCTTTTGAAACCTTTTGGTGCCTTTGGCCGCAAATTCCGTCAGGCTCTGGACATGACAATTCCACATGGACCTGAAAGACCTGTGCCCGAAGCGATCCTGATTGCTAGCACGTGTCCTCTTGAGCCACATGAGGCAGCTGCGAAACTGAACTTGGGTCGGGGGGTGTGAACACTTGAGACTTTGCTAGGCACCAAACTCCTCTGTGGTCAGAATGCGACGTGGAGCCTGCATGAAACATGGCCGTGACTTGAGATGACAAAACAAATTAAATTGAAATGCACCTGGAGCTTCGCTCGCTCCCTGACGTTCAGCTCCTGAATGTTCACCACATAGCCAAACCTAGACAGGACAAACATTCATGTACAGTATGTGGGTGTGTGCATCATTCTGCCCACACACAACCGGTCATATGAAGTCACAGAATGCCAACTTGTCTAGACTCAGGATCGCTCTCTTGATCCCCGTTGCCAGGATCTTGCAGCAACAGCTCGTCGCCATGAGACAACAACACCTGGTGAATGCTCCGCATCACAAGGGGGGTGTAAATGGACATGCCGTAGTGTTAAGTTAGTTTGTCAGCCTCGCCTTTCCTGTGGACTTTGGAGGTAGTCTGAGTCCATTTAGGTAGGTGCCGTTGGTGCTGCAATCAATGACCTGGTGAGGGCATGGAGATTGGTGCCAGTGGAAAGCAAGGATTGCGTTATGGAGCAGGCTGCACTGGCTTCACAGTCGAACCGTTTTCAGGACCGGCTTTGCAAATCCTGTACTCTAAGGTCCCTTTGGGACGTCTTTGCTGTGCTGAAGGCGGCCACAATGTCTTGGCGACCGATGCTTTCTGGGAACGGAAATCCAGAGTGGTCCTACCCTCCAGCCATCAAGTTCTGCCTATCCTGCGTGTTGCAGGAGGGATCGGGCAGACTAACTAAATGCTCATATGTTCGGAGCGTCTCAATAGCTGGGGAGTCCCGCTGAATCCTTGCGTTGGCGGCATGAATTGGTAAAGGAGAGGTGAAGAACCTTGCACCCAACAGCCCATCTTATATAGCTGAGGAAACACTATACTCTATGTCAAATGATTACACTCTACCTCTACCTGGTACAAGTACCTGCTTCAAATCCTGTGTGTGAGTGTTGGCATGTCGGAGGACTTCTTGCCGAGATGCACTTCAGCAAGCAAAGCTTGCCTTTGGAGGAACGTTCTCATCTTCGGTGTCGAGCATAGTTCCTGCAAGGGCAGGTGCCAAGTAATTGCCACAGTAATGCTTAATTCAAATTAAGCAGGTCATCCTTAAATATATATATATGTATATGTTATGAAAGTCAAAATTGCCAGAAAATCCCGATCAATTCTGATTTCCTATTCGACCAAAATTCTGGGTTTAGGGCCCATAATAAAACCTCAAGATCTAGATTTATAAAATTCAGCTCCAAAAGTGCAAAAAAATAATCCAAATGAAAGCGACATGAAAGCAAAATGAAAGCAGAATGAAAGCAAATGAAAGCAGAATGAAAGCAAATGAGAGCAGAATGGAAAGTAAAAGGAAAGCAGAATGAAAGCACATCAAAGCAGAATGAAAGCACATGAAAGCAAATGAAATGAACTCCAGAGGAGACTACCATTGTGACCCCCCTAAAAGATCCTTAAAGAACTTCAATAAGAATTGGATAGGTTGACCCCCTTAGTTGTACGAATCTAACAATTAAGTGAGAAACTCTTGTTGTCATAACCAGCTGATGACCTAAATGAGCTGGCCAAGTGATAGCTAGGTCAGCTGGTTGGCTCAGTGGAGAGTCGACAAAAGGATGAGCCAACACAGTAAGGTGAGATAGCACTAGGAAATCGTGCATAAGGACCATGTTGTGATCTCGGCAATTTGTGGCCATCCCTGTTCGATTCCGGTTCTTGCCTTTTGGGCGAGGTGCCACCCTTGATCGTTTCGCCTGCTGCAATTCCAATCTTACACTGCCAACCCTTGCAACTCACGCACTTGCACAGCCAAATGACGCTGTGCTGTAAATATGCCGCTAAATGCCAAACAAACGGCGCATTACCTCAAACGGCATGAAGGTATGACAAAGGTCAGGTAAATGCATCCTCTAGATCTGGGACTGCGTTCGAGCGCAACTGCCCCCCTACCATGGCGTTCCGCAGGGCTAAGCATATGTCCAACAACCCAGCTGTGACTTCTGGCAGGCTACGCGACCATGCTTTGGTTGATTGAATTGTGCGACGGCAATGATGCGAAAGAGATTACTGTGACTATCTGTCACTTACTATTACATACTATTACTATGGTGTCACTGGATGGGGTTGCTTCCCGCTGCATAGCAAACGGTGCCCCTTACTCTATGTTCCTTGTGGTTTCCAGTTTCCATCTCACATCATGAAACGGGTAAGGGATCAAAATAAAAGTAAAAATAGAGTCAAAAAATATTCAACGGGGATCAATAAAAAAAAAATAAAAAGGTAATCAAAAAATAACATTCTAGCCCACTGAGGATGGTTGGGGTAGTAGAGGAGAGTGTACCTCCCCAGGAGCTCCCTCCTAGTAGGGAGCTATTTCCACTGGTGAACAATTTTTCGAGTAGGGCTACTCAATGACTGGACGGCAACCTTATCGTTGGGTACCTACTTTCTTCCCAGGGAGCTGCCTCTAGTAGAAAGCAATCAAGCCTCTATTTGCGCAAGCAGGGGACCAGGAGATCGACAGACGAGCGCCGTAGGAGACAGACGGACTAGGATACCAGGGGACCAGCGGACCACAGGACCAGGAGACCGGAGGACTAGGGGACCAGTGGACTAAAGGACCAAGGGACCAGGGGACCAAAGGACCAGCAGAGGACCAAGGACCAAAGGACCAAGGGACCACATTACCAGAGGACCCGCAAACCACAAGGCCAGGAGAGCAGCAGAAGAGGCCTATCAAGGATTTTTTTAAAAATTCGCTTTTTTTTTGATCATGTTTTTATTTTTTTGATGCTCTTTTTATTTTTTTTGATACCTATGCCCATCATGAAGCCTCTCACCCTTTGGCCTTCTAGCCGTTCTTGGGCAAGTCGGAGCCATCTCGTCATTCCCTCGAGGATCTCTCATGGCAGCCGGAAAGGATGAAGCCGTTGACTTAACGACATGATGCGGCCTTTTGGGGATCGAAGTCTGTCGGGCACGAGCAGAACGGCCTCCATATGATGCTGCCATGAAGTCTGGGTCTGTTCGCCAGGGATTGCTCATCTCAATCGTTTGAGGCATTGAAAGCCCTGGCGAGAGTCCTGGAAGCCTCTCCACCTCCGAAGGCCAGGCGAGTGAAGCACCTGGCCCGAAGGACTGGGCAAACGAGCTCCGTACAAAGAGTGAGGGCCTTTCACAAGCGAGTGCACCCAGTGAAGGGTCTGCCCCAAGTGCAGGATCGTCTTTCTGCGGCTGTGTGGGCTGACCTCCGGCCCAACCCGTTGTTGCCGGCCGTGCTGCACTAGGTGCAACATGCATCCATCCCAGAATGGGCCTTCTTGGCATTGATGATGTCTGAGCTCTTGGCAACTCAACGGGCGTGCAAGGTTGGCCAGTGCAATGTAGTGGTCTCAATGCTCCTGGAGTCTCAAGCTTCGGTGACCGTGTTGATCCACGACAGAGCCGTCCAGAAGAGGAGCGTCCAGGTGGCGTTTCTATCTCCCGGTTCTTTTGTGCGAGGACCAACCGAATTCGAGTCAAGAGTGCCTCATCTGCGGACACATCCTCCACATGGAGAGGGTGCCGACACAATGGGCAAGAAACATCTGGCTGATCATGACCCAGCTGCGCCAAAACTGACTTCAACAAGCAGCCCTCGCAAAAGGCATGCCCACAAACGGTGCGAACAGGCTGCCAGAAGGGTTCCCAACATATCGGGCAAGTGAACTCTGCAAGTGCTGGATCATCTGCATGTCGGCGAAGTTTCTTCAACAGCTCTTCAGGCGCTTCCAAACGACAAATGCTAAGTGCGGGGAGGTCTGTTGGGGCCCTCGAACGAGGACCCTTTCCACCATCGTTCGGCCCTTGCCTCCTTCGCGAGGCAGAAAACATCAGTGATCTACATGGTTCTTAAGGCTTGAGCACTTGGCCCTGCGGTCTGCATACATCTGCATACCATTCAATCCCACACAAAACAATTATGTATGCCATCACATACTATCAGGACAAAATACGACTCAGGCTCAGGATCTTCGCTCAAACGATGACTGCATGATCAAGTATGAGAGCGCCACATAGACAGCGCCACGCTCTACGTCGAGTTCCAGCACGCAGTGCTGGCCAGCGTTGTGCAAAGACACTGCTTGTTGCACTTGAAATTCAGGCTCAAAAACAGGTGGTCTCGTCACAAAAGCTGGCAGCACTTGTCTGGAGACGATCTGCGCAGGGATAACTACGTCATTGGCCTTATCCTTTCCTTGGTGTCACACATACGGTATACTGTGCAAGCAATCACTACAAGCTTCAAGTCTCTCTCGCAAGTCTCTCCGAGGACGTCACCGATTGACAGAATCGGCCTCAGTTGGAGGGAACAAGCAATGGCTTCCAACCTAATAGCAATGGCCTCCACCCTAGTAGCATGGCCTCCATAGCAATGGCTCCAACCTAATGGCAGTGGCCTCCAGCCTACTAGCAATGGCCTCCACCCTAGTAGCAACGATGGCCTCCAACCTAATGGCAATGGCCTCCAACCTACTAGCAATGGCCTCCACCCTAG